GTACACGTACAAAAAACAATATTGGTTTTAAAGCCGTTGTCTTTTCGCGCGATTGGGCAAAAAATGGCACGCGAATTGTAATTTTTGCGAAAGTTTTCTTCTTTTTTTCTCACTCAAATCTTGTATGTATAAACCCATTGATTTTCATACCGATTGCATTAGAATGAAAATTATCGTTATCAGTCGTTCTTGAGTCGTTGCTCGCAACTATAGACGAGACCACTGATTCGAAAAGGCTCGAAAAAAAAAAAAAAAAAAAGAAAAAGAAAGACCATGCAACGTCACCCACGTTTACCAGTTTCTCCATGAAGGACGGATCACCGGCGATGTTGGTGGTGCTGTGCACGCTCCTCGAGCTGGTCATTTTGGTGGTCAAGCTCTTGTGTACCGATCCGTTGACCGTCTCGCCGGCCGAGAGCCTTTGGTGTTGGCTGAAGGACTGCAAGCTCTGCGAGTTGTAGCTGAGGGTGCTGCTCTGGTGCTGGGACGAGCGTTTCGTGGACGAGACGAGGCCGGAGGACGAGGCGGTGCCGTAGCTCTGGGACGACGAGCGCTGCGAGTGCATAGACACGAAGCCCGACTCTTGGGTCTGCGTCGACAGCCGCTCCATTTTTGCTTCGATGCCTGTGCCGGTGGTGACATTGTTGTTAATGTTATCCGAGAGTATTGCCGAGTGATGGATGGGAAAAGGGGACGAACGATGAATGATCGCTGAACCTCGACCGATTAGGTGATGTTGCGAAACAGTGACCTGCATAATGTCATGTATAGCCGAGGAAGGAACTGCGCACTTGCGCGCTGACTAAGTCTTTGGCATTGAATATTCACCGATCCTATGGTTACTTGGGCTATTTAAATTTACATTTTTTGCTTTCACATATTCACGCGAAACAAAACGACACCAAACCATCTTTTTATATATTTTATTCAAATTTAAAATGTTGTTCCTTCTTCGGACACTAAATTAAATCAAGTACGAAGTAAGGTCGCTATTTTGTTCAATTTACCTTCAACCGGAGCACGAAAACATCGTGAATTTCGAAAAATCGGGATCAAAGGTAACTCCCGTCTTTCCAACTTACCAAAATCAGCGCGTAACTAAATTAAAAAAAAAAACAGGGCCCAAAAAATATTGCTTACAGAACCAATTTTTGATGCTCTCCCAGGTAGATTTCTTCGTCATGATAAAACCACTACTGCAAGTATACGGATAACAGCAATATCACGAGTTGTGAAAAAAAAAAAAAAAAAAAAAAAAACTCAAAGCACGTAAGTTTCCCCGGGGAATCAGCTAAACTCACATTTTGTGCGAAAAAAAAAGTCGGTGTAGAGTTACGGCTGACCGCCCACACGACCCGGAGAAAAAACTTCTCAACCGTCGCGGTACCTGAACTACACTGGGAGGGAAACACCCGAGAGCCAAAGTATACGCGATACACAAGTCGCACTCCGGCGTCTATTTATACACAGATGTGGCTGTTGTGCAATACAAATGCGCTCCCCGAAAAGATGCATATACGTATATATCTTCTTTAGTTCGGATCGGTATATATGTATTATTTATACGAAGGGGGAGGAAAAAAACAAACCGAGAGATTCCCCTTGTTTGTCGGATTAGTTTTTTTTTTTTTTTTTTTTCCTAATTTTTTCGTGACTCATTTGTGACGTGTTTTGTAAGAGGAGGTGCTTCGAAAATACCGCGGCAGCAGCGGAGAAGTAAGCGTTTCGACGGAAGTGGAAAAAAGCGCTTGTAGGTGGTATTGCATGGAATCGATCGACGAGAGCTCGCACAGCGATAAAGTGACTGTTGACCCGCTGCGGCCGAAGATCCGGGTGGATTTAAATTTAGACCCTATGGTGCTCAGGAAATCATGCGATGTATGCAACGCTCGAGAACGTACATTGTCTTTATAGAAGAAAAAAATATATATATGGACTCTTGAGGTGTCCTCTTGTTGGGTATTCGACGCTGACAAATTTTCAAGTGATTTCAGGTGGCGAGTGCCAACGTTATTTCCTTTTCACATAGCACTCGGGTCGACGTTCGAGTGTATTTTTCGAGTGTCGAAAACCTCGAAAGTATTTTTTTTTTTCGCTTAAGGCTGAACAGGAATAACGATCGTCTTGCTCGGTACAAAGTGCACTGCCCAAAACACCGCGTGTTAAGTTGTATTGAAGTTGGTTAAAAAAATAAAATAAAAAAATGGGAGAGACAACGACACTCACCGGTGAAGTGACCGAGCATTTCTTGGGAACTCTGCTGACCCAGCAACATCGTGCTGGGCAGGCTTGTCTCGGAGCCGTCCCAGCAGCCGCAATGTGAGCTCCCGTTTACTTGCATGCCTGTAAAAAAAAAATAAATAAATAAATTAAAAAAATAAAAATGTAACATCAATCAATTTTTGATTGTGAATTTGTTTCTTTTAATAGTTTTCATTTACGTATCAAGCATCGGCACAAAAAGACCCTTTTTGTAATTATTTTTAATTTGATAAGGACATCAGACAGGCCAATCACTTGAATCCTGGGTACTGCTGCGGTACGAGAATGTCTCCCTGACGAACAATTCGTATACGAAAGAATCACTTACAAAAAAAAAAAAAAAAAATTCCATAGGCCAAGTGTGAGGTGCTACGCACTTAAAAGTCTCTCTCTCTAATACTTAATGGTAAAGCGTGCGCTTGAGTAATTTAAAAAAAAAAAAAAATTAATACCCAGAGCATATAAATATAAACACGATACTATTAATATGAGCAATAAATCTTTTCAGCCTGGCTTGAATGAACTGCATTAATTTGATAAAACGATGCATTTCGCAGAAAAATATCCAAACTGACTCGAGTTGATGCATAGATTCCTCTGTATCATATAGCTCGTCATATACGGAGCCCAAGTTAAACGGCACGAGGGCAATATGTTCAAGTATAGATACATGTAACCATTAAAAAAAAAAAATGTAATGTCAAACCATTGACCTTGAAATTGCTGGTTGTGCAAAGGTGAAAAGTATACAATACGTACTCTTGTCGAAGTCAAAGTAAAAAGGCCTCGTTATCTTGGAAAACCAGAACCGTGAGCTCTCGCCCTCCATCTCTGTTCTCTCGTGTATATATATTAACGATCCCAAGCACAAAAATCAAAAGAAGAAGAAGAAAAAAAAGCCACCACGAAAGCCTTAAAACTGCGCAGAGCTGTACGTAGGTAGCGGGACTCGAAAAGCCGAACAGCAGAGTCAGTCCGGCATACTTGGGGAAGATCGACTGGAAGCGAGGAAAAGCGCGTCTCGACTGCAAGCGTCGCACCATATACACCGCGAGGAAGGTGAGCGTCGCGTCAAGCTCTCATTCTTGGCTTTGATGAATATAGAGATGCAACGCCTATGCGGCCGTATCATACATATTAATAATGGATACAGCGAGGAAAGGGGGGGATGGATGGAAAAAAAAAACAGGGACAGACGAAGGCGAGCAGCGGCGACACGCACGAGAGCGGGGAGAGCTTCGTGGATATAGTTACGTAGCGAGAAGTTCAAGAAAACACATATGGAGTTGTCTTTTTTTTTTTTTTTTCGCAACAGTGCGTTGTGCTCGTAAGCGGAGCTTCTCTCTCCGGGGACGACGTCGAGGTGATGATTATACGGAGCGTGTCGCGTGAACGCGCAGGTGAGAGAATCCAGTTCGCGACGCCTTTCCCAGATGAGGAATCTTGCACTAATGTGTATATATATATATATTTTTTTTTATTGCATCAGGCGATCGATGAATGGGATATTCGCTGAATTTAACGTGTACATGTTTTTATTATTTTTTGTTAAAAAACGCGAGTATTTTTTTATGTGAAAAAAAAAAAAAAAAAATCGCGTCATCGAGACGAGTCCAATTACATCTCACTCGAGTCGAAAGCGAGTTAGGAGATAACAGCCCGGGGCTCGATTAAAATTCCCAATTAGCCGGGTGGAGCTGGGCTTGCTCAACTCTCGAGCTAAGCACTTCGGGGTCCGTATACGGACTCGTGGCCTCGATTCGTCCGATCCCATCGACGCGCACTTGACTTCTCGAGGGATGGGGGCGGAAAAAAAATTAAAGGCTCACCCTGTATGGTAGCCATGAGACTGAGGTCCATGCTGTCGTTGAAGGACTCGTCGTTCGGTCCCATGATGGCGCGTATCTCGTCCTCGTCCCTCGAGTGGTTGAGAGCCGAGTCCAAGCTGCCGGCCGACGCGCTCAGCAGCGATGACGAGTCCTCGGGCGACCTGCTGCGCAGGGACATCCTGTCGAGGCTCGAGGCAAGGACGTTTGGCTCGACGAGGTCGCGCTCGTCCAAGTGGTGGTGGTGCTGCGGCTGGTGGTGGTTCCGGGCCCGTCGTTTCGGGGGCAGGGGTGGCGGTGTGCCACCTGGAGAGTCGTTGTTGTTGTCCTCCGATTGGCAGAGAGTCCTACGGGGTGTTTTTATACAAAATTATTGCTTCTCCGTTATCTTGGTCAACTGCGGCGTTTCAGTTACCACTGGGGGGTCGCTAAAAAAATGTTATACCTACAAGCCATACTTATGCAGACTTGGGCACATATACTTTTTTTAATTCTATACTTGATTTATTTATTTACTTATTTTTTTAATCATTGTGCAGCAATCAAAATTTATAAGAAAACAAAAGAGTCAAAGTGTGTAAAAAAGTATTTGAATGTTTTATTTCAAATGCTATGCAATACTATCCACCAGAAAATTATTTTTTCAATATTACATTGTAAACAGTGCAAGATGAAATTTTTTTTCGCCTTTTACAAAAAAAAGGCACTTCAATGAGGAAAAAAAAAAAAAAAGAATTGTTTTTCTTCCAAAGTGTTTAATTTATAAAATAATTGGGCCCAAATCTGCATCATTGTATAATAAAGTAACGTCAATTACCTAATGTATTATTAATCAATCACAAACTACCCTTTCCTTTCATCACACCCTCGTACCTACAACCCACTTTGCTCGTGACACGCGAATGATACCAACACATCACTTCCCTCAACATTTAGCCGATGTAACAGTGTATTATGTATATACACATTATCCTACAACGCGTTGCTGATATAAGCCATGCAGCGAGGAATACGACTGAATTGATGATTTATGGTAAAAGCCATGAAAAATTAACATCACAAGAGATGATTAGTCGTAATAAGAAACACAGAGTAAACTTGAGATGGACGGTTGTATTATAATCAACGACGAACCATAGTAATAAATTCGCAATGAGCGGTGGTTAGGGAAACTGGTTACGGTCAACCATATACGAATCTGATAAATGTACGATGATAGTTGACGATAAGAGATGACAAACTCGCGAGTAAAGTAAGCCTCTGTTCAGTAAAAAAAAAAAAAAAAAAGACTCGGCATAGCATACTTACTCCCAGCCCGATAACTCACCTGTCAGGTAGCGGAGGCTTGGGTGGCGGACTCGAATCCCTGAGTATCGACTCGGAGCTGTGTGAGCTGCGCACCAGTGCGCTCGACGCGGCGCTCTGCTCGAGTATCTGGCGCTCGCGCGGCGTCAGCGGTATGTCGGGCAGGGAATTGCGCTGCGGCGTCAGTTCCGAGCCGTAGCCCGACGTTCTGTGCGTACACACAAACAATGCCATTCAGTTAACGGGTAACAGGTACGTGTATTACATATTACGTGGGTAAACCCGGTGGACTTAAGTGGGGCACCTGTTGCTGGAGCTCTGCAGCCCGGGTTTTTGCTTGTTGGAGATTTTTTCCTGGGCGAGCTCGACGAGGTTCCTCACCGCGTCCTCAACGAGGCCGATCACGTGGGTGACGTTGGCCGTGTCGAGGGCCGAGGACTGGTCGCCCTGGAGCAGCACGTCGTCGCACAGCTTCAGCAGTTGGGCCAGGGCTTGGTACACCTGATTTGTCGCCGAGCCCAGGGTCGAGCTGGAATTTCAGATTGTGCGTGCTAACTACTTATTGCTCACTTTTGCAACGCGTCATTATTTATCGATGGTATAAAATAAAAATAAAAATAAGATAAAACCCACCTGTTTTCGTCGAGCAGGTACGACTTGAGCAGCGTGTGTATCGTCGTGACAGTGTCGAGGACGACGGTGCCGTTTCCGGGCAACATCTCGAGTTTGTTCTTGGACACGACGTCCCGAAAGTGCAGCAGAGCCAGATTAACCTGCCTCACGTGGACGTGCAGATCGCGAAGAGGATTTTTCCGGTCCACCTGCTGCTGGTCGAGGGCAACCCTGTCAGTGCCAATGACGCCACAGCTGTTGTTGTTGTTGTTGTTGCTGTGGTCGCGATGTTGCTGTTGGGGTACGCGGGGCGACGAGGGCGAGGCAGCTCTGGTACCTGCCCCGCTGCCCCCACCGGCCGCGCTTCCACCCCCCGGCGAGCGCATCTGCGACAGCTTCTCCAGGAAGTCCTCCTTGAAGGAGCGCGCGCGACGCGCTAACTTGCCGCCGCGCGCCTTCCCTGCCGGTCGCTCCTCGGCCTCTGCGAATTTGGAAGAAGCATGTTTTTTTTTTTTTTTTTTTTACTCTTCGTCTATTGTGCCCGCGAATATACGTGATTTAATCGTATGGTAGTATAGAGCAAAAAAAAAAAAAACGTGTTTTATTGTGTGCGTGATGATGATTTTTCCTTCCCTGTGCCTTTACGACTCATTATAAAAATATTTGCGACGAAAAACAAAAAAATTATACTTTACTATGTTTCGCATCTCGAGTGAGGACGATTGATTAGGAATCGCTTCAGCTACACTTCGGAACAACAAAGCGCGTGCTTATTTTATATTTGAAAAAACAAAAAAAAACACAACAGACACTTTACATATAGCCCTGGGAACAAAACCCGATTCCAGCTAACGACCGTCGGGAGTAGAGGGTGTGGGTTGGGGGTGGGTGAAAAATTGCACCTTCCCTCTGCTCCCTTCCACCCCTGGAAACGTAGTATCAGTCTATGCTTGGGGGCTTGCTTGGTTGCCTATGATCCAGGCGTCCGCGCGTCACAGATGTTTTCACGCGCAGAGCTGACACTTAAAGCGCCGGAGTCACTTAGCCTTCATCGTTACGCTAACCCTTCCCTCTCGTCCGTACACGTTGTATAACGTACTCTCCCGATGCCTGGTTATAGCTAGCGAGTGCAACATAAATTCGATCTTTTTTTTTTCTTTTTACAGTAAATCTGCTGTTTCACATTTAAATCACGTTTCACGTTTACCAATGATGCCGTGGTAAAAAAACCAATGGAAAACTAAATGTGTTAAACACGAGAGGAAAGAAAAAAAACACCCTTCCCCCCCCCCTACTCGAGCTACCAACGCGTCAGAGCTGTCCCATCAGACAGTTTTAATTTTAAAAAGCACCAAAGCTCCACCACGAGTTTCCAAAGCCACCGCATAGATTTACGCGCCTGGACTGTCCGTCAACAGCAAACGAATTTTCGTCCAGTGCGGCTTATTACGCACGTATTCCACGCGAATCTCGGTAACACCCCTCCTACCATGCTCCCTTCTCCCCCATATGGCACCGAGAGGCGCCACCGATGCGTAATCCGAGCTGTGCCGAAACTTTCGAGTTTTGCACTTTGCGAGTATTGGATTACAATACTGTTGTTGTTGTTGTTTTTTTTTTTTTTTTTTTGCGGTACCCGCATATATTACACGAGCATTGGATCATGTTACAAAGTTAATTAATTCATCAACGAAAAACCCCTTCGTTTCAATGGTACAACGATAGAACGGCCAATCCGGCCCCGCACTCCAATAAATACGCAGATCATTAATTAAGTGCGCATACGCAATTCGATCGACCCAAAATGAGTAATTCGCATCAATCAGCGTAACACGTAATTTTCCAAATGCATTGGTATACAACGAGAGAACGGCACGGGGAATTAATCCCGGCGTTATCTCGCCCCGTCGTCCCGGGAAATCCCTTTGTACTCGCGCGACCGCAGGCACACACGCGCACCTATCGTAACGTATATCTGGGGGGGGGGGGGGTAGGTCCTGTCAAACAGACCGAAAAAACGCGATGTGCACGTCAGGTAATAGGAAACAGATACGAATCCCGAGGTTTTTCCCCCATTTAACAATATAGCGAGATACGCATAGCACATTTCTACCAAATGACAGTTCGGCGTTGCCGACCATTGCCTATGGTGTGGGCTGGCGGCTTAATGAAAAGGTATAGAGGGGCGGAGGGGGTCGAAGGGCTCGATCGTATCGGAGCACCACCAACGGTGCCTGCATCGCAAATCAAGTCCCTATTCAAAGGCTGCAGAGCAGGTGCCTATGTGTCTACTACATACACACGATTGAAAAGCCGACAGTACCCTGACACTAGTGATCACTGACATTACCAATGGTATACCTGTACGCATCATCGTGGGGTTATATATACACTACTCTGCGATATAATTTCGTCTCCCAATCCACATCACAAACGTATGTACACGTAGGTATATGTACAGGCTGACCATAGCTGGCGCTATTGGATAATATCATGGGACACACAATCGGAGAAAGAGAGAGGTATCCTACAAATAATATTCCATAATGCGTTACAACAATGGTTATGCATATATATATGTATTACATATGTAACATCAGTTACCTGTAGCCTGCATAACAGTAAATCGTGCAGTAAATAGTCATGTCTCTTTCTTAATATGTTGTAATATATGTTTATATTTAGGTATACCTCTTTCTACCTACATGTACAGGACTTGCACAGTTGAATCTGCCCGATCGAATTTGCCCGATCGATCAAAATGCATAATTTATGCGTGTACATACATATCCACGCGTCTCTCGCCCTGTAAGTATTTCGGCTAATATTGAATTTCTTCAAATTATTTGTACCACGTAGGTAAGGTATGACCTGTCAATTGAAATCTATCGCGGATTTAGATGGTGTGCCACATTCGCACTCGCCCCAAAGATTCGATTCTCGATATCCTTCGGAGGTGTACTCACTTCCTTGTAAGTTGTAGTTTTATTTTTGATTATATTGTACGGACAGCCGTAAGTACCGGACCACAGACTACTATGTAAGACTGTCCGTGGAGAAGGGTCGACCGGCCGTGAGGACCGATGCCCGCTCCAAGTTGGGATGTCTATATTTGGGATGTCTACATTCTGCAATTGCGGTGAATTATATAAGTTAAACAATACTACTCTGCTTGTGCGCACATACAATTCAGTACACACGACATCTATCGACGTAGCGAGTCAAAGTTTTGTTTTCTTGTATCGTTACAATATGTATTGTTATTACTATATAGGTATACTAGCTACATATAGTATAACAACAAATATATGAGCAACATATATCTAAAAAGTTTGATGTATATAGGTGAGCATCGATATGAAACAGTTTCGAGTAGTATTTTGTTGATAAAAATTTACATATTTACGATAAGATACCTATATTGCTTACGAATGTTATACGTGCTTCAATTTTTATCTCATGGGAAGAGGCCGTGATATATTCGGATGTACGGAGGGAGTGTTTAATCATTTCCAGGCTCCCGTCACCCACCGACCACTGGTCCGCCAATGGTTTCCATCAACGAGAAAATTAAAATCAATTTCAGAACGAATAAAAAAAAACCCGCGAGGTAACGAGTTTCCCGATAAACATGCGCTCACTCCTACCCCCCCCCCTCCAAACCATACATACGTGCTGCATTTACCAACATCCCACGCGGGGGCTTTTATATTCCCGCCTGTGGACAATACGCGGTGTTACAATGAACGATGGCTTACACTAAGTATTTATGTCGATAATCAGAAAAATTTGCATGGAAATCCCCCGTCCACATCCGTGACAGCTGTTTTACTTCCAAAGACACAAACGAAACGATCCCTCTCTTTTCAGAGCTCGGTAATTACTATTACAATTTGCAAAAGGTATATACAATGACTCGACACGTGTCGACTATGTATGTACGTATAGGTAATGGTCACAGTTTAGAGATGAATTGAAAATAAAGTGTAAAACGTATGACATTTACGGGACGATGATTAAAAACTCTCTACATACAACAAACTTTGCAAACAGAAAAACCAAACATGCCCTAGTGTCAATGTGTATACTATTAAACATGATCGAGCAAGTCTACCTGCAAACTTATATAATATATACCTGACGCTTGAGTAGGTCCAACAACAAAAATAAGACGAGAACGATAGTGGGCTCATACCTCCAAAAGCCATGGCTAGACGAGCGTTAAATTAACAACAGAGAGAGAGAGAGAGAGAGAGGGAGGATGGGGAGCAAACACAGCCCTTGATTGTTTTATGGAAATGCAGTGTAGGGAAGGGGCGAGGAGCGGAAAATTTACATGGGGCCGGAGTTCCCGTTGCCGTACAGCAACAGCCGAGTTCGTTAAGGCGTGCACGGACCGGGGCGATTTCGGAGAGATTGTCTGGCTGATGGCCTGTAGTCGACGCGGGGATGATAGTGTATACACGTGGAGTGGGAAATGCACGGTGCAACAGACAGGGATTTGATGAGAGAGTGGTGCGGTAGGCGAACAGTTGTTCATGTGGTTATCCCTTTTTTTTCCAAGGGGTTGGGAAAAGAGGGTACGCAGGGGTCGATTGTATGCGTAACTTTGCGTGTGCAGCCCTGCTGGAGAATATAGATAAGTACACGTGTTTTACACGACATCAGCTACGGGAAATGATGTGCGAGGGTGTTAATGGGGCTCATATGCGCCACGAGAGGCTTGTCGATGAAAATTAATTAATATACATCGACCGATCGTCGGTTTTTCCTTCACCAGTAGAAACAACTGCGAATGGTCAGACCGTCCGAACAGCCATGCTGGTTTCAACGCAACTGCAAGCAGCGACTTCAATTTTGGACCATTTAAAATGAATTTATTTATTTATTTACTTTTAAAATTTTCGGTCAATATTTCAGAGGCTCCTTCAATAGAGACCCAAAAGAGATGCCATACGATGTAATCATCTTGACAATGAGGATTCGCAGACGGTGAATATGATATTATAAGTAAAAACTCCGTGTCCATCAACTAAAACTCGCGCGTGCAAATTAAATTTCAAACGCAACAAAACTCGTGCCACCACCGCGAAAAAGCATCGCGTATACAGCATCGCCCGTCACGTCCGTAATTGAATGAAATCCCCAGCTAATTTCTATCCGAACATTCGGTTACAAAAAAAAACAGCTTCAACCCTCACGGGGAGTCTGCAACTTCGCTGAAACGTAAAACAAGACGGGCCTGGACAGCACCGGGAGACCGGGTAAATTTTAATGAAATTCTCACCGCAAAATCGGGTCCGGGGGATGATGCGCCGCGCTGGCGTTTATGGCGCACGAAGAGCCTCCAGCCACGCCTCGGCGCTTCCAAACCAAAATCCATTACTCTACCCTCCGGTCTCCAGGTTTATGTACACGCGGACAGGGCAGGAGGGGGGTAAGAGTTAACGAAGCCGCGGCTAATCAATTTCGACGGCACAG